GTGGACAAAACTAACAAGTATGATCAGACCTAAAGCCACAACTGACATTTCTAATGGTTTTCCTCACATACAGAACTCAGAAACAGTCTGCCACCCTAAAAACACTGCCTGAAAAGAGATGCTCATCTGACTAGGCACTGAGGGAGTCACCCTTCCCATTAATTAGACACTGTAAGGAAACAGTGTGGCTTCCACATCTTCCTCTAGATAAGGACCTAAGCCATGAAGCCTTGGCACAGGGGTCCAAGGCAGGGCACACACGTTTCCGAAAGAGGGATCCAAAGAGGTAGAACAACTAAGCCCACACAATTAATTCCAAGCTATTACTTACACCCCAGGTGCTATGCTAATGTGAGTAATTCATAATAACTAAGATCCAGAATTGCCTTCAGAAAAACAAAAGGGCAAATAACTCAGCTTTAGGTTTAAAATGAAACTGTTGTGTTTTCTAATTTGCAATTTACAAACATGATTCCTTCCTGAAAATCAAAAACGAAACCATAGAGTGTGTTACAACCCCAATTACAATCCAAGTCTTCTCATAGAAAAAGAATGTGGCTATTACTGCCCTGCCTGTGGCTGGCCCATGATTCAAAGTCCCACGGAAGAAGTCCATTCCATCACCAAGGCAATCAGAATTCTCCCTGGAGAATTTGGTAGTTTTCATCTGAAGTCCCCAGAGAAGAGCCTGTAAAGGGATGTTAAAAATTAAAAATGGAAACAAAAATTAACACCCTATTTTCTGCTGCTGGGATGCTATTCTTCAGGTGATGAACATATAAGGAACTTATCTCACATCAAATTTCACATGGCAAAGTCAAAGTTCATTGATTTTATAGCTCCTAAGAGTGCAATGGATCCAATAAAATGTTTTGAATATAAAGTTGAAAAGGTAATTATTAACAAGTCCTTCCAAAATATTAAATATTCATTCTATCTTTGAATATAATGTCACAGAATCTGTTAAATGACTATCCACCTAAGTCAGCTGTTTTCCTGTTAACACACAGTAATGGTACATATTAATGGGATTCACACCTATTTCCTTACATACACATAGACCGCATCAATCATATCTAAATTATCAGTTTAATTTTATGAGCTGTTTTCTTTATGCAGTTTCGTTATCAAAGTCTAAAAACTGTATTTTGAAGTTGAATATTTTATGCATAATAAAGGTTATATACAAAGAAAATGTATAGTAATTCTAATTTCAAAATAAAATATTTGCAAGCCTTATGGTTTTACACACATTAATCTAAAAATACTATTAAAAGTAAAAATAACTGTAACCAAATATGAAATTAGTGTAAGATAATCAAGATCTCTAGGAAGATTTTAGCAAAATAGTCTTAGCATAAAATATACCAGATATTACTAATCTAGTATAGAATCAGACAGAAAATCAAAATTGAAATTAAACTAATAAACCAATGTTAAATATATCAGTGAAACAAACAAGCAAAAACCTTTCCTGGATTGAACACAACATATTAAAATTTACAGGCTATGGCCAAAGTAGTTACTTATTCAGTAGGCTTTTGTCAACATTTGTTCCTAGGCAAAAATAAATTAGTTAAACTATCAGCTGAGGAACCTAGAATTGCATTATAAATCTAAATGACTATAGTCAAAGATAGAATAATGAAATATAAGCAACACCAATAATGAGAAGCAAAAAAAAAAACTTTTAAATGTATAATTTCTGAGACTAGCAAAAACACCGGAAATCCCCTATACTAGAAATCTAAAAACACATAAATAAAATTCATTGATAACTAATGTACATTACAAAATGGTATTCACTAATGTGTGTGTGTGTGTGTGTGTGTGTGTGTGTGTGTGTGTGTGTGTATACCAGGGATCAAACTCAGGGCCACACACTTGCCAGGCAGGCTTTGTGCCACTGAGCTACATCCCTGGCCCAGTATTCACTGTTTTAAAAGGGGATGATTCATGTACTAGCATAGAGCAGGTATGCAGACCTCATACATGCTCACATCAGCCCCAGGATTGTTCCACGTTCATGTGCCCATTCTACTCATTTCCTGACATTTTACTTTAAATCAGCTCATTAAAGAGAGAGAAAAATAAATATCTTACTATTCTAAGGTAATATTATGAAAATACACATCTGATGGAAATATTTTTCTACCACAAAGTAAAATGAATGCATAACAAATTATTTTCCAAGGCTCTTCCTTGACACAGTCATAGACAAGGAATCCCAGCCCTTCTGAGCGATGCAAGTGAGCTTGACAGCCTAAGCTGGCTCTGGTTTAGAACCAACTGGCATACTCCTTCCTGGCTTGTGACAAGCCCGCCAGTTCCAAAGTGTCTTTCTGAGGCTGTTTAATGGAGATAGTGGACTAGTAGCTGAACCTATCAGAAGCGGTGGACAGGGATGGTTCCAAGAGTACTGCTGTAGCTCCCCACTTCCATTTTACAAATATAATTAATATTATGATCATGGAGATGGATGAAAAATAATCAAGAACATGTATCTATCTTCAATTCCAAGGTTCCTGTGATGCCGGGAGCAAACAGAAGGGGACTATTAGAAATATGTACCTATTTTCCCAAGGCTACATGTACTCAGTGCCTACCGGGATTTCCCTAACTCTTTTTTTTTTTTTTTTTTTCCTGGAACCAGGGATTGAACTCAGGCCTTGCGCTTGCCAGGGAAGCGTTTATTCCACTGAGCCATCTTCCCAGCCTCCCTAACTCTTTTGACAAAGAGGATGTGTCTCCCTTCCCTTCCTTATCCAAGATTTCCCAGAACTTACTGAAGGAGGAATAGAACCTCCTCAAATTAAACTAAACTAAATACTCCCCCCAAATAATAGAATCCACATCCCCCACATACCTCCAGTATTTCAAAGACTCTTTATAAGTTACTATTTGGACGTTGTTATTTTTTGCTTAGAACAATCATTCACTACCTTTCTCAGTCCAACAGACAAAAAAAAAATATTTCCAGAACACAAACTATGATGGGGTTGGAGCAGTTTGGTGCCTGAAGCCATGGTGTTATAGCTATGTGAAAGGTAGAGAGTAACAGGAAGGAAAGGTAGCTGGGGAACCTCAGCACAACTGCACAGCATGGATCTGTTGATGCCCTACCCTGGATGACATCTTGGTTTCCCTGGGGTTGCCACAGAACCAGCTCCATGCAGAATCTGTGCAACACAGTAATTCTGTGACTGTACCACTGTCCTGCAGTACTCCTGAGGAAGAGGGAGGCAAGCACAGGATCCAACCTGGGAAGTGGGGTCTTTATTCCCTGAATGAATTTTTTTTTAATGTATTTAGTACAGGGCCTATATGGTGTACAGGGTCTCACTGCGTAGATTGGACTTGTAGTGCTTCTCCTGTTTTCAGCCTCCCAAGTGCTGGGATTGGCACGTGCCACCCTCAATCACTGTCTCAGCATGCCCCAGGGGTGGGGCTGGCACAGCACACGGGGGATCAAACCCCTGACCGCTGTGCTCTGCCTAAGCAGGTGCTTTTGTCTGCTGAGCTATCTGGCCGGTCCTCCCTGAATGAACTTTTAAAGGCCATTTCTGCTATTCTATTTTCAGCCTTCTTGCATTTTAATGTGTCCTGGATCCTTTTATTTCAGAACAATAAAAGGACAAACCAACAATGCATTCTTGGTCTGTTATCTCAACTCCTAACCTGACTCCCATACCCCATCCCCTTCTGAAAACTTATTACATGATTTTTGTTATGAAATAACATTGCTTTGATATGAAGTGATTAAATCCCTGGGTCCTAGATAACAATATTCATTTTAGAACCTGATTCTGCTATTGAATCTTCCGTGATATTGGAAATTTTTAAACTTTGTGTGTCTCAGTTTCTCCACAAATGAAATTTAAAAAAATATATTTACCAGAAAGTTGCAGGAAAAATTAAGTGAGATATTCTTTGCCCAGGAAAACACTGGTTAAATGTTAACTACTAATATTATTCAGACTGTATCAATTCTAACCAGCAAAGGACCAGATGTTTTTAACAAGTTTCGGGGAAAAACAAATTCTATTCCTTCTCTAATGGACAGTAATTTTAGTTTAATAAATTAACTATCAAATTTAAATTTATCAAAATCCTTAAAATTAAGTTGCCTACCCATTTTTGCTTAATTTTATTATTTATAGTGAATAATCTTATATTCTTTTCTGTTATTGTTTAGATGATAATCTAGAAAATAAATTGTTTTAAAAACTGAAGAAAATCATTAGCATCACTGTGTCTTAACTGTACCTATGTTTACACTATACTCTGCACAAAATATAAACTCCACGTCTACATTTAGGAAATTAACCAAAATTTGGCACTATAAAAATATTTGAGTCATATTATGAACTACTGGACTATATTGGAACATTTTGCTGAACTCATGCACCTACAATATTTAAATGACAATGGAAAACTCTTCTCTCACAAAACTAAGCAAAAAAGGGGGATATAAATGAACAAGCATTTTATAGCTGTATATTCAAAATAGTTAGGAAAGATATACAGCTACTTTCTCTTAATTCAATGAATAGAAAGATTTGTTTTAATAGTGTTTGTAAACAGGATATCATGTCTGCATCTTGTACAATGAATAACAACTCAGACAACAATATGCAATGTATTAATTATTGAAACTGTCCTATAATTGGGTTTGAAAATGTCTCATTGCTATTTGTTTCTCAATAAAATTATAAAAAAATAAAAATAAATTTTGAGTCAAGAGAAAAATACATGTCTTAGAAGAGAAAAATGTGCAGTAATTTTTTTAAAAAAGATCTGATTTCCTGTGTATCTCTTGATCATTTACACTACAATAAAACTTGTGTACACTGAAGTCATATATTTTCCCACATATATTACAGTGACCTTTATATGGCTAACATCCCATAATTTAGCTAACACTCATAAATTTTAGGAGTATATATATATGGTGAAAGAAAAGAGAAAAGCAGTGTGAGAGACGTTTCTTGAGAGGAGTGATGGGGTCACTCAGGGCCCTGGCTTCCCTCTTAGTCCTACACCTGCTGCAGGGCTCGAACGCGTCCCTCGTGCAGCTGAAGGACAATGGCTATGAGGACGTCATCATTGCTATAGATCCTGATGTGCCAGAAGATGCAGAAATAATTGAACAAATAAAGGTAAGTAACAAAGGAAGTTTCTTTGGTTTGAATTATGAGGAAAGAAAATTAACAGTGACTGGCTATTATGGAAACTACTGCAGGAAGTTTGGAAGAAGCTTGGTACAGCAAGGACAGAGCTGGAGGGACAGAGGGAAGCGGAGTCCTGGTCAGGGTCCAATTTGTCTCAAGAACAAAACAAAGCTCAGGTCCTCCCTGAGTCTCAGTTTCTTCATTTATAACTTAGTTCTTGGACTGACATGATCTTGAAATAATTATTTATTAAGTGCTTATGTCATGTTGGAAGAAAGATGCATAAATTAATGGGCAATGTTTCTGGCCTCACATATTGCACATTATTATAAGACACATGCCAGAAATGAATAAAATACCAGGTGAGAAGGTAGTAAGTTTCTTTGGTGTACAATAAATCAGATACGGGATACAGAATGTGGGGTGGCTGGAACAGAGGAAGAACATGAGCTACTGTAGAATGTAGGGGAGTCAGGGAAGACCACACTGAGGATGAGACGTCTGGGCAGAGGCAAAGGTGAGCGAGAGAGGAGTGTCATGGGAAACTGCTGGATGGGAACAGTGTGAGACAGGAGCCTGATTGATGTGGCCAAGAAAACAACAGGGATGAGGGGCTGGAGCTGGAGTGGCAGCAATGCCAGCTCACAGGACAGACCTGGGCTTTTGTCCTGAGTGAGATGAGCATCCATAGAAGGCTTCAGAGCAGAGGTGCACACACACGTATGTGTTCTGGAGTCACTCTGAGGTGTGGGGGAAATGGTGGAAGATTTCCATTGTCATTCCTTTTGTATGAACACTGCTGTCACATAGAAGGTTAGAGGGGCCATGCAGAGAGCTAAGGTTGGTGAGCAAGAAGTAGGACAGGGAGGTCATGGTAAAGATCATTAAATTGTATGATTTTTAAGATATTCTCAGGGTATTAGAAATAATATGGCCTAATTGTCTAGATGTATGTGGGGCAGGGAAGGAAGGAAATGTAAGAGTTAAAGAAGGCTTCAAGGCTTTGCCTCAGTACTTGGAAGCATGGGATTTTTCTTTAACCAGGAACGAAAGACTGTAAGTGGAGAATATTTAGTAGTTGGAGATGTAGTTAGTTTGGGTATTTTTGAAGATGTGATGCTTTTTACATATCCAAATGAGAAGATAGGAATCCAAATTCATGGCAAAAGCTTGTATGGAGATAAAACTTCGAGAGCCAGGAAATTATATCAGTGACTCAGCCATGATCCAAGCCCACTGGGTGAGTAAAACCAGAAAGGGAATAGCCACAAACATAGCCCAAGGACTCAGATTTTCTAAAGTTTCTTCCCACTACAATATTAAATATTGCTATTTCAGCTATATGAATTATTTTTTCCTTTCCTTGACATCAATAATTCTTTCTATTAAAATCCTCCACTCAGAGGCCAAGGAGATGGCTCAGTAGAATAAGCACTTCCCTGGCAAGTGCAAGGGCCTGAGTTCAATCCCTGGTTCTGCCAAAAATAAAATAAAATCTTCCACTCCAGAGACCCATTTCACCTTTCTAAGGTACATGACCTGAATGGTGACCTTATCTTTCATTCCTTATAAGCTCCATGGCCACACAAGACTGTTTCTTTATTGTTACTTTTGGAATTCTAGAAGAAAATGCAGATTGCTTTACTAAAGAACATGGATTTGGGGGAACAAATAGCACAGCTGATTCTGAAGGATAGATTTTAGTATTTAGATAATCAATTTGCTTCAAACATTTATGAACCCAGAAATCACTATTTGATAGAATGATAAATGGAGGAAATGGGAGGAAACTTCTTAACATTGTCCTCTATTAAATAACACAAATAGAAATTCAGTCATTTGCATCACATTTTTGGACATTAAGGTCTCTACAAAGTCCATATATTTACACAACCAGGAAACTGTGTGCAATACCATCATCCATGTTCTACATAAAGGAAAACTTGGCTTCTCAAAAGCTAAATGATTTTTTTCAAGTTCACATTATGCAGCAATGTCAGAATTAAGATCCAATTCATCAGATTTGAAGATTGAAAGACATAGATTTCTATTCTCGCTTGGATAAGATAACAATACCACCCAACTAACAAAAAACACTTTTAAAAGCTGAGGAGCCAACTGCAGTGACACAAGTCTGTATTCCAGGTCACTAGGGAGCCTGAGGCAAGATTGCAAGTTTAAAGCTGATCTGGGTAATTTAGGAAGAACACTCTCAATTTTTACAAAATAATAATTTATAAAAACCTGGAAAGTAGCTCTGAGTGTGACTATGCATTCAATCCTCAGTTCTGCAAAAGAAAAACACTGATGAATTAATTTTTGATTTTAATCCTATCCTTAAGTATACTATCTAACCATACTAAGATGTATGCTGGTTTATAATTCATGGCCAGAAGTGATCAATTTTTGACTTTTTTGTAGATTGATATTGCTTCTTGCTTTGAAAGTAATTACTTTTGTAAACACTGGTAACTTCTTTGACCCAACTAGAATATCATAGGAATTCTAAGAAGGAATTTGGAAGGAATACTACACAAAACAAAATAGAAAATCTTTAGGAAGCATTATTAGTGACTCTAGAATGTCCAGGGGATGACAATCATCTCTTGGATCTGAGAAATCTTTCATGATATAAGGACATCCCACTAGTCAAGACACAAGTCATCTTCCTGTGACTAGGAAGACTCCAAAGCAAATACAATCCCATTTTAATTGTACAATGAACAGCCCAGACAATTGTATACAACTCTATTTGTTCACTCCATAACTCAGTTTGAGTCCCCCAAAATGCCTTTATCTCAGAAAGCCATCATTTTAAGAAGATAATAACATGTTGAGTCAAAAAATATAAAAGAAAAGAGAGGAAGGAAGGAAGGAAGGAAGGAAGGAAGGAAGGA